GAGATCTAACTATTTTCCCTTCCTGGGGCCCTCCATATGTGTGTAAGGGGGTTTCTTGACCAAGTTATTTGAAGTAGGAATACCCATATTAAATGTGGGCAGCATCTCCCAGGAACAACCCAGAGCAGTGGAGTCCAAGGAAAAAGTTTCACCTTTGTGTCTCCCTGGACTGTCAGTCACCCTGTCGCCTGTCACTGCTCCACTCGTTGTCAGAACAGCTTCTCAAGACCTCCACTGTGGTCCAAGAAACCCTCCAGACCTCCAGGACCAGGGAACTGCTGAAGCCTCCAGCTTTACGGACGGATGGATCCCGGGTTCTCACCTCCTCAATAGGAAGATAGTCGTTCTTTGCCTACCCAGTCCAAATCCTATCAGACACCCTAGTGAGCCTCCTTTGAGATATATCTATTCTATCAGTTCCGTTCTTCTAAAGAATCCTGGCTGATACACCATCTAAATCTCACAAAGCCTTAGGAACCAGCTCTGGCACAGAACCTCCCCTGTCCCGCAGGGCCACACTCATGGCCCATTTCTCTGGCCTTTGAGGGTGCAGGCTTTTCATTTATCTTGGCATAACACAGTGGTTAAGAGTGGATCCAGGCTCCACTAGTGCTAGCTGGGATGTGTTAAGCAAGTTACTTAAACTCCTGTACCTTGCTTACTTGTGCACAGTGTAAGCGGAGATGTTCTTTCGTTTTCCAGCCGCCCAGACCCGAATAATCACACAGAAACTTTATTAATTACAACACTGTTTGACCAAAGGCTCAGGCATATTTCTAGCTAGCTCTTACATCTTAAATGAACCTGTTTCTATTATTTTATATTTCCCACGAGGCTCGTGCTTTGTTACCTTATATATTGCCTCTTGGGTGGCTTCACGGCATCTCCCTGACTCTGCCTTCTTTCCTCCTTTATCTCTGCTTGGATTTCCCGCCTTGCTATAGTCTGCCCTGCCATAGGCCAAAGCAGCTTCTTTATTAACCAATAGTAATAAAACATATTCATAGCATACAGAGGGGAATCCCACATCCCAGTGGAAATGATAGTCCTGTCTACTTCAAAGAGTATCTGGGAGGTTTGGGAGTCATCCATATGTAAATAATTTGGAGTAGTGCCCGGGACACAGAAAGTTCTCCATATCTAACACTTACGTGTTCCTATATATTAATAATTTCAGTCAAGTACTCAGTTACAGACACAGATGTGGAGCGGCTTGGATCACTTTAAGCTGGATAAGCACAGTCAATATTTTCACAATTTGTAGCTGATTTCAGATGCCTTTGCTTTTGCCCTCTCCCAGCATGTGCCAGGGCTCCCAGGGCTCCCAGGGCTCCCTTGGCATGTGCACTAGATTGACTGTGCCCGCTCATGGTATGTACCAGGGTTCTTCATTTCCAGCAATAGAGCAGACTGCAGATATCACAGAGGGGAAAAGATCCAGAGGGAAGCCATTGACATCACCGATTGGAGGGACAGTCTAGAGACGGAGGCTAGGACACAGCGCCCCCCAGAGTCTAGGTGACATGGTGCTCTCATTGCCAAGCTAGAACGACTGCCATTTGGGCCATTGCTTTGCTCCAGATTTAGTCCTAAGCAGCATATACCCTAGACATGTAAGGTATGCCCGATATCCCAGTTCATGGAAGGTTTCCTTCCTCATCACCCTCATTTTTGCTGCCAAGAACTTCAAGCTCATGAGGTGGGCAAGATGTGAGCCCTGCAGCAGCTTCTGTCACCTTTAAAAATAAACAGTTTGATGTCCTGGGCAGAGGCACGGCGGGGGTCTGCAGTTGATCAGGGCAGAACAGTGCTCATTCGAGCATATTCTAAGCCAAAAGTTCAAAGGAAAAGGAGGCCGGGTTGGCGCTGACCTTAGCCTGGAGACTGTAAAGCTCGCCCACTCTCTCTAGCATCAGTAGACACAGTACACCTACACAGTGGAGGCCACGGGAAATGCACAAGTAGCGTGGTCAGTGCCACGATGGATGGCTGTTCAGTTCAGTCCCTTTCTTTGGAATGTCCCCACTCCTCAGGGGTGAGTCCTCAGCATGGTTGTTACTGTGTGACCTGCCTTGCTGGCAGTGGGCTCAAGGGAAAGTCTGCAAATCACAAGTCTCGGGCTTCCTTGGTCCCTGGTTCTCCCGAGAATCTGTACTTTGTCCTATCATTTAAAATAAGCTCTTCCCAACCTTCTCTCTGCTTAAACAGAACTGAGCAGAACAGACGGGCTGTCTTAGAGGGGTTGTAGGTGAAGAGGTGACAATGCCAATACCCTGGGGTTCAACATAACCTCTTCTGAGCTCACTAGGGGCGTCTGTCCAGGAGAACATCCCACTGTCTGCCCTTTCTCTGCCAAGGATGACAACATTTTGACCATTCACTCGTTTCTTTGAATGAAACTCTGCAGTGGCTTTTCCACTGGCTTAGATTGAGCTGCAATTTAAACAGTGGCTGACGTGGTAAAGACTTCTAAATTCTGGAGGTTTAAGTCTGAGGTCAGGATGCCAGCAGGGTTGCGTCTTGGTGACTATAAACACTTTTTCTGGTTTACAGTTGTCTTTGTGCTGTGCCCTCACAGGATGGAAAGCATAAGGTAAAACTTCCTGGACTTCAAATCCCAGCAATCCCCATCCTGGAAAATTCCACGCCCCCCAAGGAACTCTATATAAAACCTTTGCTGCTTCTTACCCTCTTGTGTTCTCCCCCAATAAATCTCGTATGAGGTTTGCTGTGCCGTGCGACTTTGTAGAATTCCTTGGCTCCCAACTGCTAGGACAGCGTTCCCTTCAGAGATGGAACACTGGCATTGGGGACACCTTTCCCCTCAGGGCTGTAACACTTGCAGAAAGAGCTACCCAGCATCCTGACATTCTTCCTAAGGTGCATCCTGGGGCTTTGCTCTAATGACCCCATTTGCCTCCAAAAGGCCATATCTGAAGATTGCATTGGGATAAAGCCTTCAATATAAATTTTAGGGTAACAAACATTTTATCTACTGCATCAGTTCTTGATATAAAACCTAAAATGGGCCAGGCGATGGTGGCACACGCCTTTAATCCCAGCACTCGGGAGGCAGAGGCAGGCTGATCTCTGTGAGTTCGAGACCAGCCTGGTCTACAGAACTAGTTCCAGGACAGGCTCCAAAGCCACAGAGAAACCCTGTCTTGAAAAAAAAAACATAAACAAAAACAAAAAAAAAACAAAAAACAAAACAAAACAAAAAACCTAAAATGGCTGGAAATAGAGGCATATTCCAGTAATTCCAGCACTTGGAAAACAGAGATGCAAATGGATCAGTTCAGACATTCTCAGCTGCACAGCAAGTTCAAGATCATCCTGGGCAAGGTGAGGCCTTTTAAAAAAAATGGGGGGGGGGGGAGCATGGGGGAAATTACTCAGCAGGTAATACCAACAGCTATGTAAGTCTGACAACCTAAATTCAGTTATTGGAAACCATGCTTCAACCTCATTTGATCCCCAGAACCCCTGTGAAAAGCTGGATGTGGGGGTGTACAGTATCTGTAACTCAGCACGCCTACACCTGCTTAACCAAGGGAGGATGACTCACTTCCAAAGGCTGTCATCTGACCTACCTGCATTCACACTCACACACTTTTATTTTCTTTAAATCTAAGATTGTAATTGGTTGGGATGGTGAACATTTGTAACCCCAGCACTCTGGAGACTATGGCAGGAGAATTCCAAGTGTGAGGCCAGTGTGAGCTACAGAAAATAAATATGAATCAGTAAGTCCTTTCAGGCTTGCCCCACTTCCTCTTGTAGGATAGTCACACACGCCAGCTCCTGTCTGAAGATATCTATGTTCTCTGAGTTACATTCTTGGGGAAAAGAGTTGCAGAATCACTCTCGGGGGCTTCCCCTTTCTCTGGCCTAATTAGGTATCCTGGTTCTGTTTTAAAGAGCATTTTTGCTCTTTTCCTTTGAGGCCACCAGCAGAGCTTCAACTAGCTGTCCCTTGCTATCTGCAGCGGACTGGTAGTAGGGCTTCCAAGATCCATTAAAGCTCAAGTCTTTCACATAAAATGGTCTAGTATTTGCATGCAATCTATTTATATTATCTGTATATTTAAATAATCTAGATAGCTCATAATATCTAATAGAATGGAAACAATGACTACCGTGTGTTCTTAAATTTGCGGTAGCTTTTACTACATTTTTTTCTAAATACCTTGGCTTTTTAAGTCTCCCAAGCACTAGGACCACAGGTACATGTCACTGTGTCCAGTTTTGTAATAAATGCTCTCAAGACCTGCAGGCACAGACGGCTGACTATACACTCTACTGGTGCTGTGCTGTGTCCATCTACTGCGCGAGTCTCATTTCCTTATGGGTGGAGCCTGTCTCCACTTTGCTTTCTGCTGTACGCCCCGCAGACTACCACACAAATCGTGGGTACCTGAGTATCTGATGAGAGTGAATGAACAAGTAACTGACACAAGCCTGAACAACCGAGAGAACTTGTACGTGTACAGGAGTCGGGAAGATGGAACGAGATACATTTAAAGAAAAGGACAATCGACACACTTGATTGACAGGGGGTGGGGAGATACTGCCTGACTAGCCAGACAAGGGATCTGACTCAGAGCCAGTTGAAGACAAGTTGTTTTCAAATCTGAGTCAGTAATGGTTAGATCTGTAGAGATAAACGTTGGTTTTAGATAGTGGTGGGAAACCATAACGAGACATCTAGAGTCACGTGCACAGTGTCCTGTGGGGTATACCTGTCATCCTAGCGCGAGGAAGGCAGATGATGTGGGAGGCAGAGGCAGGAGGAGTTCAAGTTTGGGGCTTTGGGGCCAGTCTGGGATGCATGGGGAGACCCTGTCTTTAAAAACCAACAATAACAATAATGAAACAACTAACAACAATAGGAATATGGAGGAAACTCCACAAACTCACCGTAACAGTCAGACATGGCTGCTTTCAGCAGATACACAGTACCCTTCCACAGTAGTCAAAGCAGGCACACAAAGGCAAGATTTAATTTCCTTAGTTTATTAGATGACCATGAATGGTTAGGATGTGCACACATTACAGCAGGTGAAAGTCCAGTTCAAAGCACAAGCTGTACACAAACGGATGTTTTTGTTCCAACTCTTGCTCCCTTTCTGTTAGTTTGGTTGAGGAAGCTGGTAAGAGCCCCCTAAGTGCAGAGGGGCTTCCACACCCCTGAGTGCCTCAGAGCTTGTCTCCACCTCAGGAGCAAATGCTTCCCTTTGTACAGAGGGTGCTCCCCTCCCACCTCGCTCTGCAGAGCGTTCAGAGTCCCCACAGCGGGACAAAGTGCTTTCGTAGCCTCCCGTCTCCCCCACTCCCAAATAAATAAACGTGTGTACTTGGACGGTAACGACAGCACAGAATCAGGAGCACTAAGAGACGTGATCCTGAGGAACGGGCTGGGGACGTGGGGACACTGAGGTCAGCTGGAGCCCGTGTGGACGCAGAGCCTGGGCGGCAGCGGTGACCTGAAGTGAGCAGCTGGACGGGAAGTCAGCCACAAACTGGAACTGGAGTCAGAGTCTGAATCCGAGGGCTGACTCGGTGACACTTGAGTTCGAAGGGATCATTCCTAAATCTCCTTAAGGAAGGGAGATTCCTGATCAGCCCTTCGAAACAGCCTTGGTCTCGGCTTTCTGTCTCAACTGAGCCAACAGTCCGAGTCACCCGGCCCAGTGCTGCTGTCAGTTCCCATGTGAGGCAGAGGAACGGTGCCACGGGCCAGTTCTGCCATGTGCTTCCTGCTCTGCTAGAGCTCCGTGTGGCTGTCACGTCAACATCCCTTCTGTCTCTCTGGGAGACCCCTTGTTCCCTCGAGCGCAGGACCTGCCAGCTTCTACCAACCATGTGCAAATTTACTTGAGTTCCTGGGCCAGTGCCTGGGCCGGTTATCTCACTAGCAACCGATACAGGAAGACGGGTACACGGAAAAAGTCAGTTCTAGAACAAAAGCACTGTGGACAGCAGCTCCCAGAACACCGGGCTCTGAGATGCAACCCCGGCCAGTGCTCGCAGAAGTTAGCCGCATGCGGCAGTTCAAACACCCAACAGATGTGTCTGGCCTAGTCTAGGAAACCCCAGGGAAAGCACATTAAGTGACGGGGAGGAGTGTATTAAAATCAGTAACATGAAATAGATGGTCCAACATACATTACCGAGGAGTTAAGTGCATAAACGGCATAAAGGCTCCTGTTACTGAGCAAACAGAAACATTCACAAACTGTCGAGTTCTCTAAAGCTACTAAGTGAGAAAAGAAACTAAGGCAAGAGATCAGCCAGAGGGAGGGCCCCAGCTCTGCTGGGGGAAGGGGACGGAGAGTGCAGTGGGGTCATGCCTCTGCTTAGAACCACACAGAGCAGTAAGGGACCCACATTAGGGTTAGGATGGTGGGTGGGGTTTTTATCCTTGCCTGAGCTGGAAGCACACCTGCACTCAGGCTGGTTACTGAGAGCCCGAACACCCAAGAGGCGCCCATTAACCTGTATCCCAATAAAGGCTCCTTAGGCACCCGCTGCTGCCTCACTTATGTGTGTGGTGCTGGCTACGAATGGGCCTGGCCTAAGGTTCAGTTCTGCTCTTTGCTTCAAGCCCAGCAGAGTACACAAGCCAGCTTGTGTCCACCTGTGCCTGCAACACCTGAAACAGGGAAGTCATGCTTGCCTCCTTGAGGTCTCTGAGGATTCTGGGACAATAATGATTCTGTTCTTACCCGCCCCCCAAATGCCTAAGTCAGTTGGACAGAATGCCCGCCATGTAGCCCATTCTCTCCCATGCCTCAGGGCACGGTCTTGTTCTCTTTCAGGACTGGGACAGGGAAACTCCATTCCTGTTTCAGCCGCAAAGGAGAAGGGCATCGGCTGAGAAGGGCCTGGCTCAGGAGCTAGGGCGCTAAGTCAAGAGTGGGAATGATCCTTGAGCTGCGGCTGTAACCAGATCTGGGCCTAGTCGAACAGCCAAGCATGTCAGAGAAACTGGGTCTCGCTGTCCATTCTCCTGACAAGAGGCACTCCAAGGGGCAGTTCTGACGGAAATGCCCAGTGCTCACAGATATCTGTCACAACAGACTAGACCCACCAAACAATAAAGGTGCCCTACACCTGGACAGCAGACAAGTCATAAAAAAAATGACAATATATTTTTTAAAGGCCCCACCACCTTTCTTGGAGGAGTGGCTCAGTTCTACATCGGTTGACCCTAGGCAGCCCCTCAGACAAAGGGTCAGGTGCATTCTTCAAGTGGTCTCTAGGACAGTGGCCTCTAGAGCCAAGGCTTCTGAGGGTTCCTCCTCATAGTCAGACAGGTAGGACTCCAGGCTCTGCTTGGCCAGCAACTCCCGCCGGGCCTGCAGCCGCTCACACCGGGGGCAGCTTCCAGACTTGAAGCAAGCTTTGTGGTAACAAGCTTTACACTCTATTCGGGTTGAAAGAGAAAGAGAAGAAAATAATTTGTATTCTCCCAGGCTGGAAACAAGCCAGCCCCTCAGCCACTTCTCCCCAAAGCTCGTGCTCTGGGGGTGGCAGTGTGTGGGGTGACTCCCACCATCCTGCTAACAGAGGACATGCAGGGAACACATTCACTTTGTGTCCAGCCTCTCGTCTCAATGCTAAGCATCGTCCTCACCTTCGCAGGTCCGGCACTTCTGGAGCTCAAAAGGAAAGATGACATCATCCTCATTCTGGCAGAACTCACAGATGAAGCCTTTGGCTTGGCACAGCTGTGGAGGAGAGTAACAGTAACAAGGTGAGGGACTGGCCCAGAAAGGAGGCCTTGGTGAGGGGAAGCAAGCCATAGATACAACTTTGGGCAGGATGAAGGGTAGAGCCTGGGACTGGACTTGTGACTATGAGAGCCAGATCAGGGCTGGGTACCATCACACAAAATTAAGGTAACGGCAAGAGTGTTTCCCCAAAATAATAGCCTCTAGTCAGGTTACAGTGCAGTCTACTCACCCCTCTGCCCTTCCCCACAACTCCACAGGACCACAGACTGGGCAGCGGAGATGGGTAGATCTAAAAGCATCATTCTGACTTTCTAGCTTTGTTGATCTTATCAAGAATGGTAATAACTTACATTTGTAAACAGAATTTGCAAAAAGGCCATCAAATAGGCTGCTTCATCAAACCGCAGAAGCTCAAGAGGGAAGAATTAGGTCTCATCTAAGTATTACCTTCATCTCAGAAAGGACAACACTGAGGCTTCACACAGAGAACAGACTGTTTGAGCTGTGACTGAGAACAGGTCTAGATTCTGGCCAGAGTCCTCCACGAGCGTGGGATCCTTCACTGAGCGCTGCCCAGTCTCGCTCGGGCAACACCAGCATAGACTGCCCTAGCTCTTTCTGTATTGTTTTCCTTGAGACGGGATCTTGCTATGCGGCACAGGCTGACTTTGAACTCACAGCCCTCCTGCTTCAGTGCCCCAGAACTACTTCCTCTAACCCCAGGTCCTTCAGAAGATCCTAGTGAGTGAGCCGCTCACTCACTAGGCCAGCAGCAAGCTCTCTGGTTTCTTCCAGTGTCAACTGGCCACATCAAGTTTCTGGAGCTAAATGTCAAGACCCTGGCCCACCACTAAGCCCCACGCAAGGGCTCAGCTGCATGGTAGAACACGGCTCCTCACCATACATCTCTCTACGTGCGCAGCTCCTGCTCTGGTGAGCTCAGCCAGCCGGGGTCCCAGTTCCCCCTTCTTGGTCGCAGACAGGTCATTCAGTGAGTACAGGTGGAGATCCTCTGTCAGGTGGCCAGGAACTACATCAAAGGAATCCAAAAGCCTACAGGAAATGAGAGGATGTAGGAGGGCTTGGGAGTAATCCTTTCACGACAGTACAAAAGTCCTCACTCGGCAGGGGAGAAGCTCATGGGGCTGGTGACACCCTAGGCCACCCCAGCTTCCTCACACCATTCCCTGGAGGACAGAAGCATTTTATTTCTCAACCCTGTAGAGTGAGCTTGGGAAGTGGTGTCCGGCCTGGACAGATGGTCCTCCTCCAGAGGACACAGATCTAATTACCGCCACGGCTTCCCATTTACTACTTTCAGGCATTTCTGCAAACCCTTCCTGTTAGGACATGCTCCTCTCAGAGACAGGACACCAGAGGACTCTGGCCTCCACAACACTTACTCTTTGGCCAGCCGGCAGGTCTTAAACATGTTCTTCATGTGGTACAGCTGAACCCGCAGCAGCTAAAGACAAGTCAATGGGTTGAGAAGGAGAGAGAAGGGGCTGTTAGAAGGGCCGGGAGGTGCATTCACGCTCTGCATGGAGCAGCCAGGTTTTGGAGGGCCCTCACACCTCTCAGTCAACAGCTTCAACTTCAACAACTCACTCAAGTGATCTCTGGCCAGGGAAGGCCCTTCTGCCAGGTCAGTGTGCTCATTCAGACACACTGGCAGCTGCTGGGACTCTGGGATCCAAACTCCCACTCCTGTGCTTGGGGAGTGTAAGAACTGTTTTTGCTTTCAAGTGCTATCTATAGCCTCAGAGCTGCTGGGAGGTTTGAGACTCTGGCAAGACGAGTCCCCGGGACTGTAGACGGGCAGCTCGGTGGTAGAGGGTTTGCTAGTACTATGGGTATTAGTGCAGAGCCCCACGCCCAGCCCTGGAAATCAGACCCGAATGGTGACGGGTGGTCACCTAAGGGGGTTGCACCAGCACAGACAGAGTTAGGAGAGGAGGAGCAGGGATCTGTGAGGCAGCCTGTGCAGGCATCTTACCCGGACTTGATTGAGCAGCTTGACCTTCCTGTAGAGGGCGCTATTGATGTCCTGCACATTGAAGAGAGGATCATTCCAGATCTTGATGAGCAGGTCCTTGGAAAAGTTGCTGATGTAGTATTTGCTGAAGTCCCACTTGCGCAGGATCCGGCTGGGGACGACCATCTGGGCGTTCTCGTGGCAGCACTGACAGAAGTACTTGCCCAGGTACTCACAGTACCGCAGCCGCTTGATATAATCTAGGAAAGCCAGAAAGCCAAAGGCTAGAGGCTTCTGCACCCAGAAGCTGGCGGCCCTTCAAACGGCAGGCAGGGAGGGCAAAGCGGCTTCTAGCAGGTTTTGTGTGAATTTTCTAAAACTGGGGAAAACCCCCTGCATAATGAGGTCCATGGCTGTGGCATCCTATCCTGGAGGCCACCAAATAATCCAAACCTGCCAGAAGTGTTGAGACTCAGTCTCTGAGAGCCTGGCTATAATGAGTCGGTTTCTACAGGAAGTGGTTCTGCTGGTGTACTGCTCCCCCAGGTAATTCCCCACAACTGCCAACCCCTGCCTCAGCCCCCCTCCTGCTCAGGCCCTTCTTTCCTTCTCCCCATATCTGCTCTATCACCTCCTCTAGGTGAGGACAGAGCTTTACCGGGGTCAGTCCGGATGCCACAGCCTGCACAGCGGTAATTCTGCTTGGCTACAGCGATCTTCCTCCTACAGAAAGGGAAGGAGAGGGGATTGGAAGATGGAGAGCCGAAAATTCACCAGCTTCCTGTTAGAGTTGGACAAAACTCAATCTATGGGGAGGTCTAGGAGGTTAGGATTTATAGCGGTGGACCACGGCAGTGATCAAGTGATTATCCTCAACAGGAACCGCGTTTCTGTGTAAATGCAAGGCGTAAGGAATAATGACCCGGAAAGAACAATGGAGAAGGAAAGCATTTATCTTAAAAAGAGGAGAAAACCTAGTAAGTATATCAACTACTGGGAGACAGTCTGGAAATGCTGATTTAAAAGACTGGGGTGGTGTCCAGTTAGGTATGGGGAAGAATGAAAGAACTAAAAGAACTTAAGAAAAACAAAACAGAACAGAACATAATCCCCATTCCATGCTTTTAAATACACAGAACTGTGTGGAAAGTACAACCAGAGGCAGAGCCGAGAGGCAAGACCAAAACTATACTCACGTCGGAGCTGGATGAACATTAAAGATGATCTGAGGCCGAGGTGGAGCCCACTCCAGGTTGCCACGGACACGGATACGCAGCTTGTAGATGTCCGCATGCTGCCCGTCATCAGGTGAGATGGGCAGTGAGTCGGGAATGGGCAGGAGCTGCAGGACGAAAGTGCGGGTGAGCTGGCTGGACAATCCAGAGGACACAGATGCTGGGTCCCTCCATCCACGACAGAAGCAGAGACCACAAAACAGATTTCTGAATCACTACAGGCTGATCTTCAAGGAACCCTGATTTCAAAACAATCTAGTAGGTACTATGCTCCTAGAAACAAGGACCTTGAGTTCCAAGAAGCAAACAGAAGCATCATCCGGGGTGCTGGCACCCATCGCCGATGCTACCCCGCCCTGCCGCCTCTTCCCAGGGCCTATGCTAGTGTGCCTCAAGCCCTAAGAGGTTCAGCTGCAGGGTTTGAACAATTCACTTTCACACCATGCCTTAAAGTTAGCCACAAAACAAGAGATTTTCTTCTGCGGAAGAGGGCCGCGAAGGGGAAACTGCTAGGGAAACCCAGGCCAGCAAGCACACTCTCACTCACTCACTCTGCGCTTTAACAAATGCTGCCCAGGAACACGGGCAGACACACAGGCTCATTCTTGACTAGGGCCGCGTGAGAGAGGAAAACAGGACCTGAAGGTTCATAGGCTCCTGGGCAGGGGAGAGTGGGAAGAGCCTACCTTCTGCGGGGCATCGTGCTCTGGAACTAGCCACTCCAGCTCGGAGGCAGCTGGAAGCTGCATGCCCTCGAACTGCTTCAGAAGCCCCATGGCCACTGCCTCAGCAGATGTGGAGTGCAGGAAGCAATGGGAGCTGGGAAGGAGAGAACCAAGGAGAGCTGAGTCACCAAGTCAGGGAGATCCGTTTCCTTTCAGGACCCTGTGCCTGAACTTTACAGCTGAGGGAACACTCGCTGCACCCGGGTCTGTTCAGTTTCTTTACTCAGTGCCAGACACACATGCACTGTGGAAAGAATACGGCTGTTCTTAATCATCCCGAGTCTATATATAAGTCCTCATCTCACCTACCAGCATTGAGTGGTACTGCCGTTAACAGTTCTGTACTTTCCTTTCCCTAAAGTTCAGTTTCTTTAATTGCATGGACAAGTATGTTTATTCATAAAATAAATCAGTGAAACTGCTATTGCGCCTCTCAGAGATGAGGTCTTTCTCCTCTTGAATTGCCACCACCTGGCAGGGCCATCACTTGAACCTTGCCTGTTGGTGAAATGGGATGGCTTTCGCTGTGCCCTTTCTCAGCCACGGGCCGTGTTCTGGCTTTGTTTCTCCATGCGTCCCAAAGGATATTAAAAGGAATGAAGAAGTACTCACAAGTTCTGGGAGATGGATGGTTTGCCATTGGAGACTGCACTCCGCCTCATGTCAGCATCTGCATGGAAACCAGAGATCAGAGGAGCAGGAACTGGGAGAGGAAGAGAAGCTAAGGGAACCAGCACAGGGTGCTGCAGCTAAGCACTAAGGTGGCAGCTAGGAGCTACGTTCTATGCAGGGCACGGAACAGTGAGACTCTATGCACTACTCAGAGTCCATCTCCATCCATACCACAACCAGGCTGGATTAGTGACGTCATGCAGAGCACTGAGAAGGTTAAGTGGTTACATATGGGTGGGGAGGACAAACTCGGGTTTGGTGTAAACAGTGAGCAAGAAAGAGATCTGCAGGCACAAGGGGGCACACTCACTACAGACACAAATACAATGACGATTAAATCTCCCTCTTGAGTGAATCTCAAGCTCTCTTAAATGATATCCTCCCAAAAGTGGTGTGGTAGGTAGCTTGTGCTTATAATTCCAGCACTGGAGAGGCTGAGGCAGGAGGATCATGTGTTGAAAGCACCTAAAATAAGGGCTCTGTCTATCTTTTTTTTTTTTTTTAACAAAATAATTATCAACCAACACAAGATTTAGATCATCAAGGTTACCTATTAAATGTCTGTGTCTCACTGCTCACCATCACCCCTGATGTTAGATGCTTTCTCTATGTTTAGAATAAAGTTTCATGGGAAGATTTTACTCCTGTCTGGTGGCTCAGGGAGGAAAAGAACTTCTCCATGGCTTGAGACTCCCTGGAGAAGCCTGGTAACCAACTTTCCACGGGACCTGTCAACATGATCATTACTATAGTAATCTCATGTGTAATTACAGAAAAATGAGACTTTCCAAAGCAAAGTTCTAAAGACAGACCTGAGCCCCCAGAGACCTCACTGACCCAAATCCTATAGAAGTCTTATTCTAGGATGCGAGTCAGGCCCTAACCAAGTCATAAAAAGGACATCTTGATAGTCTCATTTCTTACTTTGACGGGCAGCGAGAGGACCTTTTCTCCTTAATTAATCCAGACAATGACTAGTACTGTGTCTGAGCCCCTCGGCAGAGCGCTAGGCTTACATGATGTCACTCTGCACTTGGCCACAGCTAGCTCAATTGTGCCTTATGCTTTAACTGCACATAGATTCTTTTGTTTGTACAACCAGATTACAAAACATCTCTGTGAGGAAATGAGATTATGTCTAATTCACTGAGCTTTACAACATTTAATACATATTTCTGGAAACAAGTCTAATTCGAATAATACTGTTCACAAACCAATGGCTTCAAAGCTTCGTGCAGCTTTGATGTGCTACTTGTTTGGGGGCAATGCTGGAGAGCAAACCCAGGGCCCGACATGACAGGCAAGCACTCTGACACTGAGCTACATCCCAGCTCATTTGCTTTAAAGGCATATAAAAACAAGACACTGGCCCTTTTTTTCCCCTTGTAACTACAAAACGACCATTTTATTTGACAAAAAGGTGCTCATTTCTGTCATATTTTCTGTCTGAACTTCAGTCACCCAAATCATACAGATCCAAAGCATGTCAGCTGTCTAGTCTACTGCCACCAGTATTGATGGGGAAGAGGGGGAAAATGTCTGGGCAACAGCAGCCAGATCTTTACACAACTGTTTGGTTTGCACCATTGACTTTGGGGTCATAAATACTGCTAGGGCTGAACATGAATCTTGTCTTGTCTGATGGGGGAGAGTCTTCTGTTTTGTGTTAATTTCATTGGTTAAATAAAGAGACTGCCTTGGCCCTTTGATAGAACAGAAAATTAGGTAGGCGGAGAAAACAGAACAAAATGCTGGGAGAAAGAAAGCCAAGTCAGACAGTCGCCATGATTCTCCCACCCAACACAGATGCAGGTTAAGATCTTCCCTGGTAAGCCACCTCATGGGCTACACAGATTATTAGAAATGGGTTAATCAAAGATGTGAGAATTAGCCAATAAGAGGCTAAAACTAATGGGACAAGCAATGTTTTAAAAAATATTATTTTGGGGCATAAGCTAGCCATGTGGGCGGCTGGGCGCCAGGAACGCAGCCCGCCGCTCCTCCTCACTACACTTGTCAAACAGCACTCAGGATGTTCTCCATAGAAAGGGTTGTCAGAGTAGTTCCAGAATGATTAACTACTAAAAGCAATTCAAGTTTTTGCAAATTTCAACCTGCTTGGGATAGGGAAAAATGAAAGAAAATCCTAGACAGACATCCTTGAATAAGGAATTAACCAATTTTGATACCGTAGGGCCAGGCTATAAAAGAAAGTGTTACAGGGCTGGCGAGATGGCTCAGCGGTTAAGAGCAATGCCTGCTCTTCCAAAGGCCCTGAGTTCAATTCCCAGCAACAACATGGTGGATCACAACTACCTGTAATGAGGTCTGGTGCCCTCTTCTGGCCTGCAGGCACACATACAGAAAGAATATTGTATACAAAATAAATATTTTTTTTTAAAAAAAGAAAGTGTTACATACTGTTGATATCGGTTGCTACAGAAGCCATTATTATTTCTGTCAGTGGTGGTCAATGTATAAGACAGTGGCCCCGAGACCCTTTCCTGAGGTGACAAGATTTCAGACACAGTAGCCACCTCAGTCTGTGTAAGTAAATTCTATGATCTATGATAGCCACACAAAATCACCTAGGGATACATTTCTCAGATTGTAACTTTATAGTTAAGCAGAGCATTTCATATTCAAATAAGGAAGTCTTTTTTATCTTTATTCTCTTTCTTTATCTTTATTCCTACAATCAGCTGGATTATCCTGCTTATTATTCTTTTTCACCAGATACATAAAAGGTCAGAGGAGGTTATGTGGCAGGTGCTTTTTAGCTGATCATAAATACTGCAAGAGCATGGAGAACCACATTGCCTGGGGTAAGGTCCTACCCCAGCGCAGAGGGCTGAGGCAGTGCTGATAAACTGGATATGGCACCGTACACCGATCAAATACCTTCACTTTATTGTGCCTGCGGGGTGTACTGCTGACCCTAGTTAGTTCAGGCAGATGACTAAGTTGACATGGATGGACCACTGGTTGAACACAGTGATATGACCACACCAAGCTCAAAAATAGCTAAGGAAAGCATTCTGTAGAGAACAGAAAGCAGCCTGCACCTTCCTAGTGGAGTTTAGCATAACTATAAAATGTCTTCTTAATCTTTTGAACAAAAACAAATATGTTTACAACAAATATATTTTTCCAAGAGAATTTATCTGAAGTGCTTTTGAGGCTTTCCATAGATAAAGTAATTATTATTAGTGGAGGAAACTTATAAAATATAAACACAAGGGTTGGCAAAATGGCTCTGGAGGTAAAGGTGCCTGCTGCCAGCCATGAGGACTTGAGTTCAAGCCCCAGGACCCACATGGTTGCCCTCAGAACCCACATGCATGCGGAGGCATGTGCCTGCCTGTGTAGCAAGAGGTCCTTCCACTCCTCCAACCAATAGCTGCTGAGATACCAGCCCATTGGGGCGTGGTCTCTCTCCCTTTAAAAAAGCGGCTACTTCCCTCAGCTGGAGACTAGACTCCCTTCCTGGTTGCGCAGAGGGCTGTTGTCTGGGAAGGTGATCTGTAAGTTTTTTCCTCTTTAAATAAATACCACCCTATTAATCATAATTCCAAACTGGCATGGCATTGTTTGTGACTTATGCCTTCACCTGGCGCCCGAACGTTTGGCTTTTAGGACCTCTCCTTCCCCCGCTCGGCTGCTCGGCTGCAGGCCCTGAGTCCCTTCCTCAGCCGTGGCCTGTGCCTTGCAGCGGCCTTGTGGCCTATGCCTTGTGCTTAGAGCCAGCAGTTTAATATAAATTATCATGCACTGGCTTTTCTTGCTGCATTTCTTTATATTTTCCCTTTAGACACCTCAGATTGACTTCAAATCCCCACGCACCCTATCATCTGCCTCCCCACGTGGATTTAAACTCCACAGGCCTGCGTAGTCTCGGCCTGCGCGGTTTGCTCTTTTCTGAGTCGTTTCCTAAATGATAGAATATGCAAAAGAATACTGAAACCTAGTAGCCAGTTAATTAAGTTATCCCCATAGTCATATAAACCTTGCATGATAAAACCCATTGTATTGGTAGCCCAAACAAGTAAAATTCATGTTGGAAACGAAAACTGCCATATTATCTATTATCCAGCAGGTGGCGCTGTTGCCAAGTCGCGACGAAACCGGGGTCCTGTTTCAGGGTCCGCCTAGTATTTGTTAAAAACTGGGAAATGCAAGTTGCTCAACAAAGTAAATGTAATTAAATCAATTCTGTACATGGAACCATAGACCCAGAATCCAGGGGTAGAGAAGAGTAACCCGGAAGCCGTGTATGCCTCCACCTGACAGTCACCCTGAGGGGTTGCAGTTTTTGGCAACCGCGTGCTCTGGTTCGCACCGCTTAAGAGCTGTACTTGCAAGGAAGATTTAAAAACTCTCTGAGGGGAGACAACAAGGACTGCTTGAGTCATATGTAAAATAGCATCTGAATACCTGAATTTCTCCTGCCTTGTCTAGTGTTTTCCAGTTAGTTCTCTAGCCCATGAAGTTCTCATAACCTTGACAAGTACCACAAGATCAAACATGTGCAAACGCCGGTGCAAACATTCACACACATGCATGTAGAAGCACATTCGCACTTCCAGCACGGCTACCTGAGAACATCGAGGCCACTGACACTGAGAGTCCACTCTTTGACATGTGAGTCAGGTTAGAGCCTTCACTACCATCTGTGTAACAATAATTACAAAGAGGGGCCCTTTAGAAAGGAAGTTGCTGACATGACAATTCCATAGCACACGTCCTTGGGACCATGCTGTGGCTTTCGTGCAGCTTTTAGGAACCCACATGCATGGGCAGGCTTGGAAAACAGTAACTGCTACTTCCCCAAGCCAGTTGAGCCTCAAGCACCTTCTAAGAAGAAGCTAAGGGCAATGTTGGGAACAGCTGGTCATTTTGACCGTGGAGTAAGGAGCCGGGGCTCTACGGGAGGTTCGTGTGTACAGGCTGGAGATGATGGCAAACGTCTCAGTCTTTGAGCAGTTCCTCACCACAAAGGATGGCAGGGACCTAGAGATTGAGATCCTGCCCTATGGTGTCTCCTTTAAGGATTTCTGTCCTGAACCAACAGGGAATTTAGTCGATTACAGGCACCCTTGGGGCCCACAACTGAAGCAACAGTTTCCAACAGAAGTGCACTTTGTTGAACTACGACTAGAAAAAAAACACAAACTAAGGGGGGGAGTTTTAAGTTACAATTATTGTCAAGAGTAGAAATCAAATATATTAGGAAGAACAAATAGCAAAGTCCTTAGAGGCCTGGACAAGCTGTGTAAAATCTGAATTTCTGAGTGAGAAAGCATTCTGGTTACTCAGGAGATCCCTGAAGACTAAAAAAAATAAAACTATCTATTCATTATCATTTTACAGTGTTAAAATGGAATGCGTATAGACAATTTAGCTCTGCAGGGAAATCATCTTAGTTTACCATGGTGAAGAGTTTATTCACCTGAATTGCTCTGTTTATTTGCTTGCTAGCTGTTTGTCTTTGTTGGGTCCTGAAGAGATCTATGGTTTGCAGGAACAGGGCTACCATGAAGCACATCACTGAAGCATGACGTGGCCACTGCCATGTTGGAAGCAGGACAGCTGTTCCAAGGCTAGACTCACTGAGACCCTCCCAAGATTGGATCTACTGACTTTCCTTCACACAAACTGGATGGAAGATCATCAGACCCTCACTGAGAGTTCAGCCACCTGTTCACTCTTGCGCCCCCATCTCCCACCTTCGAGTAATGCTCGGGCCAGCTGCATGTGTCTTGGGAGGTGCTAGACCACATAGAAGATGGGAGATGAGCTGAAGGCGGGACTCCAGCTAAGCAGCTCTTGGGAGGCTGTCACTCATGCTGGTATGATTTTATTATTATTATTGGTGATGCAGCCTGTAAGTAAATCAATAAACTCCCTGACTCACCAGCTTGGACTTGAGACTGTTTCATTGGTCTGCTGTGAGGTCCCCCTCTGAGGTGGCTAGTGATGCAAAAGGAAAGTTACTTGCTTTACAACAAACACCTTCTCAGATGGCAGCCCCTCCCCCTCACTGCACTGACGCTTCCGACAAGGGGCTGGGGCTCTGCCTTAAGACTGCTAAGACAGAAATTAAAGCTCTGCTTTGTAAACCTATCTGTTTCTCCTTTCTTTTGCTTCTCCCTTAATGATTCATGTCCCCCACCACACATATTACTAAAAAATTCCTTCTTATATATCGTGGAGCAATTTCAATTGTGTTACGGAGCACAGGGACACATTCTAATTAAGTGGTTTGGCTCAGCCCAAAGAGCTAGAAGGAGGAAGAGAGTGAGGACCCAAGAGAAAGATAAACACACGAGGACTGAAAATCAGGGTGACTTCAATAGCCAATCGCCCTCTTCCTTTCAAGTCTGCATGACTTTTAATGCGGTTCTGATTCTAGCAAGAGCAGCCGTCCCTTACAATAACTAACAATGTACACAGTGGGTAATAACGAAGATCTCTTTGGGGGTCACTCAGCCAAACACTCCACATTAACAGGATTGTTAGTAATAAGCGCTCCTTTGTAACAGACTGGCAATGCTTACCGTGGATTTCAAACTCGTCAACATCATCAGCAGAGCCAGAGTCCGAGAACTGTGTGGAATCACGTGAACTGAACTGGGAACTGCTGGATGTGACCCGGAAGCCTGTGATAGTAAAGATCACTGTCACCCCTCTCAACACCACAGTAACGAGCCTAGACTTGAACAGAGGAGAGGGAACAGAACCACGGCTGGGACTGGCACTCCTGCTGGCCCATTCTCCTTTGGAGGAGTCCATCCGTGACCCCTGGCCTTAGTGCCTACCCTGGAGTCCCATTTTGGAAGAATGCTGTTTGTGAAGGAGGAAACCTGAGCTCTTAGCAGTGTTCCTAGTCTAGCATGGGGAGAAGAAACAAAACCAAAACAGAAGGGGAGCCCTTGGCTTAGCCACAACACCTCACAAAAACGCAGCCCGAGCTTGCCACCCTGTGAAGAGGCAGGCATCCAGATGTTCCCGGGCCTCACTCACTTCCATGCTCAGTCTCCTGGTATGCGGGGAGCAAGTTTTTGGTGCGGATCTGCTGGCGCCGAAGGCGGATCTTCTGCTTCAGTTCCTGGATCTCCCTGTCACTATCTTCCTCCTCTACCTCCTCCTCCTCTAGACACTGGCTCATCATGTTGCATTTCATCAGCTCGATGGCCGCAATCAAGGACTCTGAGATGCTGAAGTGAGCATTCTCCTGGAGGAAGGAGGGCACCGAAGAAGTTGCTTGTTAAAGGACTGGAGCACGGAACACCTTGTGGATGGACAATGTGGGGAAGCACAGCTCCCAAGACATGCACTTTCCTCAATGGGGCCGCCAGGGGAAATGCACTTGACTGCTCTAAGGAAGGCAGATAGGCAACGGCCTGCTCTAGAGTCTTTGCTCTTTTAGCTGGCCATGGCTGTCTCCTCATCTGTTCTATTTTCTACATAAAAATGGAAAGAGAATCTCAGCTAGTCAGTCCACGATCTCCTCAGTGCCAACCATAGCTTCTGCTCAGCCCCATTTCCACTCAACACAATGAAAGAAGCTATGAAAAAAGAAAAAACCCTCTTCAAACTGGAAGCACAGGGCACATGGGCGGGAAAGGAAATGCTTGAAGAAAGCTGTGGTTCACAGACCACCACAGCAGATCATAAAGAGCGTTAGTTCCTTAAAGAGGGTAGATAAAATGGCATCCCTGATACTGAAGTGAGTATTTACACACCAAGGAATCACCTTCACAGACCTGTTGGTGTCTGGCACAAACGTTTCTACCATTATAGGCCACTGAGAAAATGCAGCCAACAGCACGGCACCATTGTGGTACCAGACCTGCTACATGTAGCCAGCACCACGATGGCACTGAGACCTGTTGCACGTGGCCTGACTATCTGATGCTCTGCCCAGTGTGTGGACGGAAATACCATTTGCTCTGGAGGCAATGGGACACTTTCGGATCTCCTAGAGAATTTGACTTCTAAGAATGAAACAGCGTGAACTGAACCAACTTCTAAAGATAAAACTTGATGTTTTATCAGCATCTGTTTTCTTTTTTAACTGCTTTTTAAAAATTACTCAGGCCAGGTGTGATATCCCACACCTGTAGTCTCAGTCCCCAGAGGGCAGAGACAGGAGAATCCTAAGGTTTGAGGAGTCTAGCCTGGGCTGCACAGTAAAACCCTGCCTCAAAAACAACAACAAAATGTGTTTACAGACTGGATCAAGTCTAAGTGTCTAATATTTTTAAGTCCAATGGACACTGCAGGTCTTTTCAGTTGCTGATATACGATTCTCTCTTTGTACTAAGTAAGCTGATGAAACCAGGCAATCATGTTTGAAACAAGGGCTACGAAGGGGGAGAACAAGCCAGGAATTCCAAAGAAACTCTTTTCCCAGAGTCATACACCCATACCCACAGTAGCAAGGTAAGTAAGCCCCACGATAAGAGACTGGTGGACAGATGTTATCATACATAGTTGAGCCCAGGAACAAATGTAGACCTGGATTCTGGAATAAGTTTCTATGTGAGGCCACAGAGTCAACAAACAACAATCACGTGGCTAAAATCCAATATTTCTGCATAGGGTAGACCCGGACCAATGACAAGCACAGGCTCCCGAAGAATTCCCTTGACAGAGCTCTAAGTTCATAGGCACTGCAGTTCAGAGGTACTGCCGTGTACTCGGAACCTCACTAAAACAATGGCAGCAGAGACCATCGGGCCGGATCCCCCACTGCACTAGCTCATCATCTGCCCCTTTGATGCCTTACCTTTTCTAGGTCTGCACAGCTGCCAAAGTCTTGCTCAGAGAGGTAACTGATGAGGGACTGTCCTTCTGATGGTCTTCGAAACATGCCTTCTCCTGAGCACAGGTACTGACCACTCTCTGTGGGAAATGGAGGGCGGATATAAAATTTGAGTTGAAATGAAAACCTGTAACAGCCATGCTCCTTCAAGAAGTCTGAGGATGTTACTACTAAAGGCTCTCCCAAGTCTTCCCAGGGAACGGGGACCAGAAACTGAAAAGAGGACATCGGTCCATCTTCTAAAGGCATTGCTTTGACTCTTAAGAGTCCCAGAGCACCAAACCCCTGGACGGAGAATGACAGAGAAAACAGAGATCCTAGAGACAATCCTTTTACTATCTGAAGTTACAGGAACACTGTCTGTCCTACTCCACTAAAGAGGAAAAGGGATTGGGAAAGGACACGAATGCTTCTGCCTGCAAATGGTTCCCATGTAAAACTTGTCTTCTGAGAACTACGCAAAGATCCACTGTCAAGCCTCTTGTCCATTCAGGCTATGTCACATACGGTACAACAGACACACACGGTAGCGCCCAGAGCATGACAGAAGGGGATCCTAGTCAGTGAGGACCACAGGAAGTGGACTCAGAGCTGAAGATGACAGAAGGGCAGGTGAGGGCATTCAGGGTCCTCCACAGAGTGAGCTGAGCTCCAGAGCCCAGCAGTCACAAGGAGAGAGCAGAGCGAGACAGAAACAAGCTGGCTTCAGTCCTTGCCTTCCTGGCGCTCGCTCACCACACTCTATGAACAGGAAGCTGGGGGCACTTACTGACTGCATTGCTCTGGCCAGAGCAAGGGAAGGGGCCTCTCAAGGCCCCTTTGTTGTCCAAGGGGAAGAGACAACACCACTGGGGCAATGCAAAGGTGAAAAAAAAAAGTCAAAATGGGGTTTAGTCTGCTTTTCTTCCATCTTCTAACCAAATGTTATAAAATTTTAGCTAATCACTAATTTTTTCTTTTCTTTTCTTTTTTTTTTTGAGACAGGGTTTCTTTGTGTTACAGCCCTGGCTGTCCTGGAACTCACTCTGTAGACCAGGCTGGCCTTGAACTCACAGAGATCCACCTGCCTCTGCCTCCCAAGTGCTCGGATTAAAAGCATGAGCCACCACTGTCCAGCTTTAATCACTAATTCTCAACAAACTAGTTTAAAAAACAATCTTTAGATGGTAAAATAAAATAGCCAAAATAATTTTTTACCAAATATCTTGACAGTATGTTTTAAAACAGTGTCAGAAAATATACATCCACTAATGAAAATGAAACTCAGAAAGGGGCTTAAAAGCATCATCAAGTCAATTCTGGAGAAGTCAAGGATGGTGGATTCAAAACCAAAGGATTTAGTCACCAGAGAAAACGAGAGACTTCCAGAGAAGGCTGATGCTGAGCATGGTGACACATGCTTGCAATCCTAGCCTTGGAAAGTCAGGGGAGAAGGATCACAATAGTGAATTCAAATCCAGACTGGACCACATAGTAAAATTTTGTCTCGAAAAACAAGGGGGACAGAGAGGTTGCTGAAGGGGTCATAAGACAGGAGAAACTGATATTCAAAAGTAAATAAAAAAATGCCCAGTGCCATAGTAAGAAAATCCTGAGACATGAGCAGTAGCTCTGGAAGAGCAGATGCCTAGATATATCCAACTGTTTCCCCAGGAAATAACGCCAAGTGTCAGGTGCCACATACACACACACACACACACACACACACACACACACACACACGAAGAGCAGATGCCTAGACATATCCAACTGTTTCCCAGGAAATAACGCCAAGTGTCAGGTGCGACACACACACACACACACACACACACACACACACACACGAAGCAAGTAATTTTGTGTTCTTGTTGCTCTGGCAGTAGGCTCTGCTCTGTCTACTGAACTAAGGAAACACCAGCAATCACCACGATACCATGGTAAGAAACAACAGAAGAGACTGTTTCAGACGGCACACCACACCACCGGTAACGCCATCACTGTGTTCTTCGACCAAACAAGCCACTGGGCTTCTATACTGAGGTCACCGACTCCTATGGGCACCCACTCAACAGACTCAGCATTTCTTCCCACTCACTCAGAATCTGCTTTCTCCCAGTTTTTCCTCTCCTTCTGTTTCTGCAGATTTTCTTCTTTAATGTTCTCTTTTCCAAGACAACATGTCAGTGACTTCTCCATTTCCAGGAGGCTGTGGTCTCTAGTCCTCCCCGTCACAGCTTTACTAACCCATACCCACACATTAATAACTCCATCATTACAGCGCCCAGAATAGAACACAAATCTCAGTTTGAAAACCACCATGAGGGAAAAAGCGAAAACAAAGAACAAATCGACTTTACTAGAAAAATGCTCAGTGATGAGTATGGAGTATGCAGATGCACGAGGGAACAAAGACTGTAGGGAAGGAGACAGGGACCTTAGACAGGCAAGTCATGCAAGTGTATCCAAGACCACATAAAAGGAATAAAACACATTCTGGTGTGAAGTCAAGAAAAATAAAGTTATCCACAGCAAGCCTTCAGGTAAGGACACCCTGCTACTGACCCATCATGAGGCCTTAGATGGACAGCAGCCTCATGTTTACCCTTGTGTAAAGGAGAACTGCTTTAGCTTGACCATGGCTTCCAGAAGCTGTTGGTAGAACGAACAAAGCATGTGGAAGCATGTTTGGGGCAACACACGTAGTGTCCTGCTACAGATGGATCCCACACTGCAAAAGGATTAAAACTTGCCAGACTTGATTTGACACCAGACTGGAAAAGGAGGTTTTGAACTAAGCAAGGTGGTCACAGAGGAAGAGAAGGAAGGAGAGGTGGGGACTGACTCCCAAACCTGCAATGGGATCTTCAACTATAATGGTGATATTCCTGGGGCCTCCTGCAGATAAACACACAGGGACAGAGAATCCAGACAGAACAAACAAGATTAGAGAGAGAGAGAAAGAGAGGAAAAAAAAACCCAAACCAACCCCGTGACTTTTACCTGGCAGAAGTGGTGACATGAGCTGCCAAGAGGGGACACCGGGCTGCAGGAGGGGTGACTTGGATAAGAAGCTACGAGACCCATGCTCAGACCTTCTACACAGGTCTTTGATGGCTCCCTTATCCCATGCAGGTTACCATGGTTTCTGAAATCCACACAGATTCAAGAATGGAGCCAGGGAGGCTGGGAATGTCGCTCTGTAGAGCTCTTGCCCAGCATGAACAGGGCCCTGGGTTCAATCCCTAGACCACTTAAAACAACAAAACAGTGGGATGCAGGACCCAGGGAGTTCTATATGATCAAAGGTCAGAGCACTCATGGAGTGTGGACACAGGACTGCAGCAGATAGGACTTGAGGGTCTAACCCCAACATGCTTCCCATGTGAGGAAGTTCATGCAAAAAGGCTTTGACCTGGAGATTTTTCTCCTAAGTTCAAGTAAGTCATTCAAAATTCTTGGAGGAAAACAGATGAGGGTCTGCTACCCACGGTTTAGTTGAGGCCTTGAATCTTCATCTTTCTAGAAATTACAGAGACAAGGGCAGCTCCAGCTGCCACAGGAAATCTCCTTTATTTTCACTCATGAAATAAATACTTTCTATTTTATTTTTATATTTTGTATCTGACTTATAATAGCTTTGAGCACAAAAATTAGAGTTACACTTACAGATGATCCCCAAGCAAAGCCTAGAGACACCAGCTTCCCAGGAGGATGGTGGCAATGTGATGCAGGAGCAAGGAAACTCACCTTCATCACGCCTAGGTTTGCGCCCTACTACCAGCTAGCACTCTGGGAGCGAGGGGGACAGGGCAAATGGCCCTCATCTCAGGGACTCAGGGCCTCAGTCTGAATTATGACACTTGGTCCAGGGTCACACTGCCCATCCATACTCACTATTATCCCGATGATAACTAGGAAACCCTAATAGTACTCAGCTTAGTACTACTTCCTGAACTAACTTTTAAGGAATCACAACAGAAGGAATTTAAAAGGATTATCTCTAAACCTCTTTGATACTTTGCTGAAGTTTAAGAGATTCAGTTAAAACATATACTGCAATGCTCATACTATCCCAATGCTAAGGAACTTTGGAAGAATCGGGGAAGCATTTAGTATTTAGCATCATGTAAAGGAAGACATAAAATATACTTGGGCATCATGAGTACTACATAACGTCTTTCATGACAGAGCAGAGTAACAAACATGTCATCCAGAAACAAGTTCTTTTCTCTCTGCCATCTAAAAAATCGCAAGAACAAGCCCTCCCCCAGCCCTGAATTTGGATTGGGGAGGGGACACCCTGCTAACCAGTAGCTGGTGCTCGTCATCACCTGCGGTTCCTTTGGAGGCAATGTTAGTATCCGAATGGGAGCGAATGTGGCTCTTCTTTGTCCCGTTGGCGACAGGGACTGTCTGCCCCTCTGAGAAGCTGGACCTGCGCAGGACACTGCCTGGCTGACCCTGCCTACCTGCCTCTTGGTCCCCTAAAGAAGAAGCAGCAGAATCTGGCTTCTGCGAGCTGCTGGAGGAGAACAAGGGAGAGCTGCTACTCTCAGCATTGCTGCTCTGGCTCTGACAACTGGCAGTCCGGCCACGGGGGTCTGGGTTGCCAATGGCCAGGTACTCAGGCCCCTCACTGGCATCACTTGGAGAGTCATTTTGGCTGCTGACCCAGGATGCCTCTATGGGGCTGGTCAGAGTGCTGGAACTCATCTCATGTGGGGTCAGTGGGGAACCCTGGGCTAGAGCTGAGTCTGAAAACAGCGGAGCTTGGGCGGTTTGACTCTCCGCTGGTGAGAGCTCTCTGTCTTCTTGAGGTCTCCAGAGAGGGCCAGAAAGCGAAAAGGAAGTGGATCTTCTTTCTAGGACATAAAAAAAGGATAAGGGGAGAGAAAGGTAAGCTAGAGACCAAAGTATGTATATAGGTCCCCAGGTAAGGGCACCCAGGATCCACGTCACTCAGAAAAGGTCAATCAATTAAAGTAAGGATTTGGAGCAGCTAAGGGGAGGGCATGGACACTTGAGTAGCAGTGGCTTCACTGCTCCTCAGCCTGAACCCCTCAACTGCAAAATGAGAGAAATAATGAGAACAGCAACCCCACAGAACTGGTAAAGATCAAATGAGGTAGTACACACAAATTGTAACAAAACTCAGCATGGTGCAGGCACTCTAAAGATGTTAGCAACTACAGACCTGATTTGAAACGTGAAGCAGAAGCTCAAAGGCCTCTAAGGACATCTCTTTGCTACAGAATGATTGTAGGCTAGCTGCTGAATAACTTTCTGTTCTGTGAGGCATGGTCTCACTATGTGGCCCTGGACACCTCTGAACTTGTAACCATCTTCTTGCTTCTGTCTTCTGAGTGCTGGGATTACAGCCCTACAGCCCCACACCAGCAACTGCTGCTCCGTATGCTTTTATGACGCCTACGACAAAGACACTCACACCAATGTCTACCAGTCCAAGCTTCAATTTCCGGTCTGCAGTCACTCTCACAAGGACTCTTTACTTTCCAGAGGTGAAGGATGAGAAGGTAAAACCAAAACCAAACAAAAGCAGGTTCTGGCCTGTGAGTACTCACAAAAGTCCTCTACTTCCCCAGCCTAAAATGCATGCAGGAATTACACAGCATCTGCCCCCATACCTGAGCTGTGGGTGGCCATGGATTGGTGGAGGCTAGAGGAGGACCCAAAGCAGGATTGCTGAGCACAGCTAGCTGAAAGGGTATACGTGGAACCAGGCAGAGCCGTCAGACTCTGGCTCTTTGTAACCAGCAGCGGGCTCTCGTGCTTTCTGGCAAACTAAAACAAAAGAAAACATGTCAGAATGAAGCAGAGGCCCTCAGAGGAGGGGCACTCATTGCTGCAGAAACGCTGGTAGGAGCTCGTAGTTGACAGTAGGCCTGGGCTACTAGAGCACAGCTACCATAGCATTCAACATCAGAACACGACAGCTTCTGCACTGGGATTCTTCTAGGATGGTTTCTCCTGTAAGTGGTGCAACAAAGAATGCAAGAATATGCATGGGAGGCTGGGAAGACGGTTTTAGCAAGTGTTCTTGTGATGTGGGAGTGATTTCTTAATAATAAAGAAACTGCCTCGGCTCTCATAGGACAGAAAATTAGGTAGGCGGAGTAGACAGAAGAGAATGCTGGGAAAAAGAAGCTTAGTGAAGAAGTCGCCATGATTCTCCCGCTCCAGACAGACGCAGGTTAAGATCCTCCCTGGTAAGCCAGCTCATGGGCTACACAGAATATTAGAAATGGGTTAGAAAAATATGTAAGAGCCAATAAGAAACTGGACCTAGCCGGGCCAGGCAGTGTTTGAAAGAATACAGTTTCCGTGTAATTATTTCGGGCATAAGCTAGCCATGCGGGCGGCCGGGTGCCGGGGACGCAGCCCTGCCGCTCCTATTTCAACAGATGGCGCCCAACGTGGGGCTCGAACCCACGACCCTGAGATTAAGAGTCTCATGCTCTACCGACTGAGCTAGCCGGGCCAGGCAGTGTTTGAAAGAATACAGTTTCCGTGTAATTATTTCGGGCATAAGCTAGCCATGCGGGCGGCCGGGTGCCGGGGACGCAGCCCTGCCGCTCCTATTTCAACATTCTTGCTCTGCAAGCACAAGGACTAGAACTCACAGCCCCAATACCAGTGTGAAATCCAGGTGGCAGGGCAGCCTGCACATGGATACCCATACACATGGGAACAGGTATACAAACATGTATCTACACTACACATAAATACATACCAAAAAGGATGCATGTGAAGTAAAAGTCATATAGACTGGTGGTCTAAGCCATACGTGTCTCTCATGAGCACCTGATTCGAGCTTTGGGAGAGAAGGCAAGTGTGTGTGTGGTTCGGTGCCCTTTTCTTTTTCACTTTTTAGACAGGGCCTTGACATGTCACTTTGGGTGGCCTGGTACTCATGACGTAGCTCAAACTGCCCTGCTCTCAAACCCATGTCTATCCTCCCACCTCTTAAGACTCCCAAGTGCTGGGACTACAGTAGTGAGTTTCCATGCCTAGTCCTGGCCCCTAGCGACTTCTTTTGTACGTAGGGCACACATTCATACATGTGCACAAACATGGAGGCCAGAGGTCGATGCTGGCCATCTTCTTCAATCACTCACCACCTTCCTTTTGAGACAGGGTCTCTCAGTGGACTTCAAGATTGCCAGTTCACCTTTCCCTTCCATCCTATTCTGCTTCCCTCACCCTACCGCTCACCTCCCCTTTCCTTTTTAATTTTTAAGACAGGATCTCATAGTCTAAGCTAGCATAAAGCTTATTATATAGTCCAGGCTGGTCTCGAACTCTGACCCTTCTGCACCAACCTCCCAAGTACTGGGACTACATGTGCCTGTCAACTTGACACAGAGTTTTATCTGTGAGGAGGGACTGTCAACTGAGAAAATGCCTCCATCAGGTTGGCCTATAGGCAAGTCTGTAGTACATTTTCTTGCTCAATGACTGATGTGGGAGGGTCCAGCCCACTGTGGGTGGTGCCATTCTTGGGCAGGTGGTCCTGGGTTCTGGAAGTAACAGGCTGAGCAAGCCATGGGGAGCAAGTCAGCAAGCAGTGCTCTTCCATGTCTTCTGCATCAGGTTCCTGCTTTGAGTTCCTGTCTCAATGAACTGTGACTAAGGATATGTAAGCCAAATAAACTCTTTCCTCCCCAAGTTGCTTTATGCCAAGGTGTTTTATGACAGCAATAGCAAGCAGACCCAGGCAACAGTCACGTGCTACCACACCCAGCTCCCCAGACATTTCTAAAGATGAAAGTCTCTCAGCTCACAGCCGCCTCAGTGAGAAGTCATCTGCTACTGAGGAGTGGCCAGCACGGAGAAGTACAGAGGCCCAGGACAGACGTGGGGATCCCTTTGCCCCCCTTACCATAGATGCATCAATTTGAGCCAGGAGCCGGGGGTTGTTCTGTTCCACTGCTTCCAGGCACTGGAGCATGGCTGTGACGTGGGCGTCACTTAGCAGGAAAGCAGTTTCTAGGAAGGGAAAACGAACCACAGTGATGAAGAGTGAAGCTCGGAGAAAGAGACAGAATAAAAAGGAATCGAGGAAAAGCATGTCACTGTGGAGAGGAAGGATTTGGGGACAAGTAAAGTACAGAAGACGCTCAGTTGTATGCAGTCTAACATAAGAAGCTCCAAAATCAGAAGGGCGCAGAATTGGACCTGGCTCTGTGTGACTCTGGCCAAGTCACCTAGCCTCTCTGATTAGAAAACAGTGATCCTGCTACCCAGCTCGTGGAGCAGCTGTAAAGAGGGCAGCGGCACAGCAACCAGCACATAGGAAACTCGGTTCGTGGCATTTCTTCTTACAGTTTGCATGCATCAGGACAGGAACAACTTGGCATGGGTGTTTTCCCAAGGTGGCTGAGAGGAGGGCTGGCTACGTGTTTTTGAGTAGAATCTACGGCATCAAGTAAGTTTTAGGAGACCCTGGTACAGAAGCAATCTACTGAAGAACAGAGAGACAGAAGATCAACAAGCAGTACGCACAACACCCTGAACTGCTTCTACTCACCTGTGTAGAATTTCCTGATATACTGTCTGTCCCCAAGCAGAGGCCGGAGCTGGGCTGAGAGGCAGTGGCACTGCAGGCTGTGCTGCAGCCAGAGCTCTGCAACAGCAAGCTCGCTCCCATCGGTGCTGCTCTGGTCATTCTCATGCAAGCTGATGAACTGGGGAGGCAAAGAGGCAGGAGTCAAAACACACACCCTGGCAGACAAAGCACAGCAGTGAGGGCCTAGTGACCTGAGAACTACGCTGAAGACAGGTGAGAGAAGGCTACCCGGGGTGTCCCCTGCAGCTAGCTTCCGAAGATGCAGGAGGAAGGCTGTGAAGAGATGAATGGCTTCTCTACCTATCAGACCTCAGAAGAAGCAAGCCTGCTAAATCTGGCTCTCTACGGTCTATCTCCAAAGAGGAATCTCTAGGATATTCCCAGGATCAAAGGCATTTGACCTCTTGGCTTCTCTCACAGAGTCCTCTATTTCAGAGCCTCCAGAGAGAAATGTGGTAAAAAAAAAATCTTGGCATGCGTATGTGTGGATGGGTTGGTCTAGGAAAAACACCACCAAAGATGCTCTTGAAACTTTTCTTGATAGTTTTTTCAATGTGCCTGAGTGTGTTGCCTCATATACAGAAAGGCCAGCATGACCATATACAGAACAGCCAGTATGACCATACACAGAAAGGCCACTATGACCATATACAGAAAGGCCAGTATGACCATATACAGAACGGCCAGTATGATCATATACAGAAAGGCCAGCATGACCATATACAGAACAGCCAGTATGACCATACACAGAAAGGCCAGTATGACCATATACAGAAAGGCCAGTATGACCATATACAGAACGGCCAGTATGATCATATACAGAATGGCCAGTATAAAGCCCAGAGTCTTTGTTCACTGGATATTAGGGAAAGAAAGCATACTTCTTGACCTCATCTTAGCAATAAATCAATAGCTGGGATATACATGAAACAAAACAAGTTATACAAAGAGAAATAAAGAGGGACAATGGACGGATATTTTACAGTCATTTCATTAATTTAGATGCGTTTAATTTTCCTATAATAAAAGATTAAGTGTATACATAAAATAGTCATTGATTAGTCTAAAACCAGCTGTGTCTCTTTGGTCAAGTCACCTGACTTCGTTGAGTTGTTTCCCTGATGGGAAACCTGGAGCACTATGTGGAGCTGGAGACAGGAGACTCCAAAGCAGCCAGAGTGTTTAAGGTAGCACTCAATCCACTGGACTCTGGGATGCTTTATGCCCACACTCCTCTTACTGCTTTAGGGAAATTCTTGCTATTTCTCCTAGTTTCTTTTTTTTTTTTTTTTTTTAAGAGTTTCATTAGATCATTTTCACCCGTTTCCCAGCAGATGAAAAAGCAACCTGAATGGATTTGTATGGTTTGTTGGTTGGTTAAGCCTTCCCTCTAAGTCACTGCTACCGAGATAATCTCTTCCTTCTAGTTAAAAGAAAGTGGAAGTACTCCATCCCAGGGAGAACAGAGTCTTCCGGCTGAGCACCAGTGAAACTTGCAGCCACCCAGCAAGTCAGCTCCCCTTCACTCTTACCTTCTCAACATGAAGGGCTGAGTGCGGACTGAGCCACCGAATGTCTTTCACAAACTGCCAGTAATCCGCCTGGCGGCTAAACACCTGCCAAACAAACACCAACGTGATGAGCAGATCCTGCTGCTGACAATAAGGGAGAGATATAAAAGCTGACATAGTAGCACCCCTCTGTAATGGTAGGGTTTGAGAGGTGGAGCCAGAGGGTCTGGAGTTCAAGGCCAGCCTGACCTGTATAGAGAGACCCTATTTCCAAAACAAGAAAACCAAATAGAGGCAGAAGAGTAGGAAAGGGGGGGGGGAGAAGGGAGAGGGAAAAAATGAGAATAACCTTCCTTTGCTTCAACAAAGACTGCCAGCAGCAAGCAAAGGAATATATACACATAATTACTTAAATTGTTTTTTTTGTTGTTGTTGTTGTTCTTTTGAGACAGGGTTTCACTGTAGTTTTAGAGCCTGTCCTGGAACTAGCTCTTGTAGACCAGGCTGGCCTTGAACTCACAGAGATCTGTCTGCCTCTGCCTCCCAAGTGCTAGGATTAAAGGTGTACCACCATCTGCCTGGCTCTTAAATTGTTCTTATGTGTATGGGTGTACATATATACGCTTCAAGGAAGCCAGAGGTCCACGTTGGGTGAAGTTCCTCAGGAGCATCTTCCACCTTAGTTTTGAGACAGTCTCTCTCTGTAACTCACTCGGTAGGCTAGACTGGCTGGCCTGGATTACAGTGAGTACCGGTTCTGGGGATTGAACTCAGGTCCTCACACTTGTGTGGAAGCACTTCACAGACTGAACCTAGACTGCTCTGAATAGGTATTACATGCAAATGATATAAAAGGTATACAGTTAAAGTTATCTGTCTCCTACTCCTTTTCTCTTCATCATCTGGTTTCCTACAAGGAAAAAAACTAGTGCAGTCAGTTGACAAGGGTGAATGTCTTTAGTACCTATTGCAAACAAAACAAAATAAGGAAACACTTGATTTTGCCATAGATGTTGGCCAAAAAAAGGCTGTATTTTAGAGTCAAAGAAATATGAAGTCCTAGAGAGAATGAAGGGTTTTACCCAGACATGACAATGAAATGTTTTCTATAATGAAAACCTAATGTTTTGGAGAACTCCTATAGTGGTTTAAATAGGTATGGTCCCCACAGATGAATGTGTTTGAATGCTTGGCCCATAGGGAGTGGCACTATTAGGAGGTGTGGTCTTGTTGAAGTAGGTGTAGCCTTGTCAGAGGAAGTGTGTCATTGTGGAAATGGGCTTTGAGGTCTCATATGCTCAAGCTATCAGTGTAGAGGACAGTTCACTTCCTGTTGCCTGTGGCTCAAGATGTAGAACTCCTAGCTCCTTCTCCAGTACCATGTCTACCTGCACACTGCTGTGCTCCCTGCCACAATGACAACAAACTACACCTCTGAAACTGGAAGTCAGCCCCGACTAAATGTTTTTCTTTATAGGAGTTGCCATAGTCTTTTCTAGGGTTTTTTATTGCTGTGAAGAGACACCCCCTTCCTGAGATTACTGGGCAGGAGTTTGAATTTAGATTAAGTAATCTTTGCAGGGCGATGGTGGCACACGCCTTTAATCCCAGCACTCGGGAGGCAGAGGCAGG